CAAGAATGTTGCTTATTGATCTAGTAGTGAGGGGTTTTGTTTTCTTTACATTGAGATGCAATCCATACAGAAGGCTGTGCTCTTTGATCTTCATCAGGAAATATTTTAAGTCTTTTTCACTTTCAGCAAGCAAGGTTGTATCATCTGTATATAGCAGGTTGTTAATGATATACCCTCGTTGGGTAGCAGTATATAGGCATGTGGCACTGGAGGATAACGCTCTGGTCCACAAGGTCGGTTTTAACTGCAGCGTTGGTGGTTCAAACTCACCAGACACTCCTTGGAAATCCTATACAGGGTTCACTGTGAGTTGGAGCCGACTCAACGACACTTAATGATGATGATAAAAAATCTTCTAATACTCTATCAGACAAACAGTCCATGTCTTGCAACAAAATTTAGTACCCAGAGACGTTTTCTAATTTCCAGATCCTTACACTATGCAAAAACTATACAGCCATTCAGAACTTTGGAGTAAAAAATATTCCATTTCCTTACAGCATTTATTATGTTAATGTACAATTTCTCCATATCTCTCATGCCATTTTCCCATCATAGTTGCATGAACCCTGGATCTCAAAACTCATTGTCGATACCTTCATCAAGAGGTACACAAGTCCCTCTAAGGAAGCCAAAACAGGGGAGCCAAGCAGGGCTCACAGGGGAGTCAAGCAGGGCTCACAGGCCCCGTTCAAGCTGCAGAGGAGTTTCCCAGGAACCACTAATGACTTACTTGCCTCTGCCCAAATTTACCCAAGGCATATTTACTGCCCTCTCATCCTTACCTCCCAAATCTTCATTTCCTTTGCATTTGATAGCTCTTTTCGAAGTTTTTTAATCTTTAGTTCTTCAAGAGTTGTATTAACAGATAATGTCTGCAGAGCTTCTAGGTCGATCACACGGCCAAACTTTCTGACCATTAGTTGATGAACAGTTTCTTCCATTTCTAAAAAAAGACAGCTGTTGATTTAGGCTTTTCAATGACTTCCATTATGTTTAAAGGAATACCACTAATAATAATAAAATTCAATGCAATATCTTTTCCAAGAACATGGTGAAGATTTTATGTTACCAGTTGATTTTTCGTCTTTGTACTTCTATTTTCCTCACTTAAAACACAACAAGTCCTGTATAAGACTGACTCATTTTTCCCAGCTAATTTACATGCTCTGATCTGCCCCTCCTCAAACTGTTAACAGGCCCCAACTGGATTATGAAATTTCCTTTTTTCATTTTGTTATTGATCTCTACAATGTCTAATGTTACAGATACAGCAGGCCTACAGTAATCAACACAGGTTGGTACTACTGTAACAACCGACATATAGAACAATGGAATAGAATTGAAAGTCCAGAAATAAACCCACACAACTATGACCAACTAGTTTTTGACAAGGGTACTAAGTCCATTTGATGTGGAAAGAAGACTCTCATAAATAAACGGTGCTGGAGAAATTAGATTTCTACATGCAGAAAACTGAAATAGGGTCCATGCCTCATATTATATACAAAAACAAATTAAAATGGATTAAGGGCTTGTAAGTGAAAACTAAGAAGCTCAGGTAACGCAGTGGATTATGAGCTGGGCTGCTAACCACCAGGTCACTAGTTCAAGTGTACCAGTCACTCCACTGGAGAAAGATGAGGCTTTCTGTTCCTATAAAGATTTTTGAAAACCTGGAAACCCTATAAAGGAGTCAATACGAGTTGGGAAACCACTTGTCTGTCAGTTTGTCATGTGGTGGCTTGTATGTTGCTGTGATTCGGGAATCTGTGCCATGGGTATTTTAAATGTCAGCAGGGTCACTCATGGTGAGCAGATTTCAGATGAGCTTCCAGATGCAGACAGACTAGGGAGAAAGAGAGATGAACTACTTCCAAATAGTCAGTCACTGAGAATCTTATGAATAGCAGAGGAACACTGTCAGCAACATATTATTGAATACTGAAACATGATGAAGCGCACCAGAATACTGTCGGATATAGTGCCAGAAATTGAGCCCTTCAGATTGGAAGACACTCAAAATGCAACTGGGGAATAGCTGCCTCCTCAAAGTAACATTGACCATGATGACACAAATGGAGGAAAGCCTTTGGGACCTTCATTTGCTGAGGGGGCACAACTGAAAATGAGGTGAAACAGCTGTAAACATTTATGGATAATTAATTGGAACATGAAATGTACAAAGTATGAATCTAGGAAAATTGGGAGTTGTCCTCCAAAATGAAATGGAATGCATAAACGTCAATATCCTAGGCATTAGTGAGCTGAAATGGACTGGTATTGGACATTTTGAATCTGATAAACACATGGTTTACTATGCCAGGAATGGCAAATTGAACAGGAATGGTGCTGCATTCATCATCAAAAGAAACATATCAAGATGTGTCATGAGTTACAACACTGTCTGTGATAGGATAATATCCATGTGCCTACGGGGAAGACCAGTTAATACCACTGTTATTCAAATTTACACATCAACCACTCAGTGTGATGAAATTGAAGAAATCTACCAACTTCTTCAGTTTGAAATTGATCAAACATGCAATCAAGATGTATTTATAATTACTTGTGATTGAAATGTAAAGGCTGGAAGCAAACAGGAAGGATCAGTGGTTGGAAAATATGGCCTTGGTGATAGAAATGATGCTGGAGATTGCATGATAAAATTTTGCAAGATCAATGACTTCTTCATTGCAAATACTTTTTTTAAACAACATAAAAGATGACTACACATCTGCACCGCACCAGATAGAAAACACAGGAATCAAATTGACTACATCTGTGGAAAGAGACAGTGGAAAATCTCCATATAATCAGCGAAAACAAGGCCAGGGGCAGACTGTGGAATAGATCATCAATTGCACATATGCAAATTGAGGCTGAAGTTGAAAAAAATTAAAACTAGTCCACAAGACCAAAATACAACCTTGAATCTATCCCACCTTAATTTAGAGATCATATGAAGAACAGATTTTATGCATTAGACACTAATGACTGAAGACCACAAGAGTTGTGGTATGACATCAAGAACATGCGGCATCATACAGGAAGCAAGTAAAAGGTCATTAAGAAGATAAGAAAGAGGGAAAAGAACAAAATGGATGTCAGAAGAGACTCTGAAACTTGCTCTCCAGCAAAGAAATGCTAAAGCAAATATAAGAAGTGAGGAGGTAAAGAGAGCTGAATAGAAAATTTCAATGGTCAACTCGAAAAGACAAAGTCAAATATTATAGCAAAATGTGCAAAAACCTGGAGTTAGAAAACCAAAAGGGAAGAACATGCTCAGCGTTTCTCAAGCTGAGGGAACTGAAGAAAAAAAAAAAAAAATCAAACCTCAATTTGCTGTATTGAAGGATTCTATGGGCAAATTACTGAATGATGCAGAAAGCATCAAAAGAAGATCGAAGGAATACACAGAGTCACTGTACCAACAGGAAATGGTCAATGTTCA